CTGTTACATTTATCTGCTTAAGAACCTTTTCCAGTAATAAAGGAATTTAAATTTTTGGCCCATATTACTCTAAGCTAATTAATTAGATGACATAAGCCTTTCAGTATTTGAAAGATAACAGACACTGTTCACACATCTGAATATTTAAACTTTAAATCTTTTACAAGCCAGTTCAATAAAATATTCAGCATGGCTATATTTGGAATACAGTAATTACAACATTCTTCATAAGACAGTGTATCCCTCTTCTTGAGGAGACTTCATTTTTAATAGCAAACCATCATTGAAAATACTCTGTGTGGAGTTAGCAAACCAATCATTGTCTCTTATGGGCTTCTTCTGGCTTAAATTCAGTCAACTAATACAATCTTTGGAGTTTATTCTTGGTTTCAGAATGTTAGAGAAATGTTAAAATTTGAGTTTTATTGAACATGGAATAGTAGTTTAATGCCGCATCATCTCTTGATAAGTTATTAATGTTGTTTTCCAGAAGAGCTGTGCCTGTCCTGGCTTTTAGCCCAGGGTCGATCTGGCTTCACAGAAGTTAGTTTAATTTCTTCAGTCTGCATTTTCTTTCCCTTAGGTGTCAGTTGTTGCTCTTTCCCCAGACAGACATGAAAATCTGCCATCATTCTGCTCCTTACTGTAGTAGCAGTTCCCATCTTGAACAGCAGCATTAAGAGTCAAACTGCAGTCTCTTGAATGCAGTAAATTCTGTCAGTGTAAAGACTATCTTCTTTGTGCTGCTGTTCTGTCTAACCATTTTATTGTTGCTGTTTGGAAAAAAGCCATTTGCTGATCATTCTCTAGATGAGTAGTGAGTTGTCATTACCACAGATTTGTTATAACCACGGTTAGTTTAGTGTGTGTGGTTAAAATAACTCCTGTTTATTCCAGATTTACCTAAACCGATCTCTGTTTTCACCGAGTTTGTTGAAATGGTCCCATATCTGAAAATGTATGGAACAAACCCTGCGTGGTGTTGATACTGAGTCTATGGCTAAAAGTGCAGGTTTGGGAGCTGTTTTACACTGCACTGATTCTTCATGCTTTTGGTTTCAGTGCTCTCGGAGAAGTTAGCTCCTGCTTATGCTGCTGGCTTTTTATCTAGGCAGTTAATGAAAAAGGGAAGTGGACCGGATCAAATCAGATCAAACGAAATTCTTTGCTATTCTTGCAGTCAGCGCCACACACGCTGCTCCCTCAGAAACTGCCATTAGCAGTCTTAACTGTATGGGAGTGTGGTTATTCTGGTCACTGTCTGCCAACAGAGGCTGCTTCTGGCAGCCGAGCGCAGGAGATCTCTGCCAGGGGGAAGCAGTTCACAAGTAAACACTGAAAAGATGTCCTATACTGCATTGCAGGGCATGAAATTGCCTTTCTTCCACTGGCCTGCTAATCTTATTGAACAAATCCAGTACAAACTATCCAGTATGGTTTGTTGGTCAGCATAAACCTAATTGCCACCTGTACCCCCACACAGTTTGGTAGCTAGCCAGCAGTGGGTGGAGAATGTTTACATGGTCCCTAGTGTCTGGAAGCAGTTTGTGTCGTGGTGTCTGTGCAAAATAATAGTATGAAATGTTCTTGGATTTTTTTATTTTTTTATTAACTGCATGTATCTGAATCACTAAACATAATACTTTTAAGCAAACTCCTCCCCAGATAGTGCTAAATAGTTCTCTTAGCACTGGTAACAGTGGTGCTTAGCCACCATGATGAAACTGGATGCCTAGTGAATATAAAATCCATTCCATTCGAATTCTTGGATTTCTTTTCTGCTGCACTGTATGTCTTAAGCAGAGGATTTTTAAAATATATTTTTCAGAGCTAAAATATGTTACCTTTTACTTGTGAACTCTCACACTCTCTTCTTACCCTCCTTGTCAGTCATGATGATTTCACCTTAGACTGATGATCGATGGAAATCATGTGATTGCCAGGATCTACTGGATATAGTCAACATCACAGAAAGTGGTTGGCTATTTGGATGTACTGGACGATAGGGCAGGAGGTAGATTTTGGCCCTTCCCTCCTACCTTGTTGGAAGGCTCATATGCTCCCTCTTTTTTTTTTGCTGCTTTGATCATTCCTCCCTCCTTCACAGGTATAAACTACTTAATTGTGATCTGACTGTGCTAATCAAATATCTCTTGAACAACTGAAACTACAGTAAAAGAAATACAAATGCATCTGCTCAAGGGAGCATTTTGTAAGAAATTCAGTCTCTTTGGGGGATGCTGAGATGTTTAAACGGTAGGCATTTTCCTTCTATAAAATAGTCCTGTTTTCACATTGGACTCATTTGCCTGTTTGTTGTTCAAATAAGCAAGTAAAATTACTTCTCATTACTCTCTTGCAACATATCAGTGTTAAAGGATCACAGTTAATGCCATAGACTGTAGTTTGTCTCCTCTGATCACTTAGAAAGAAAGAAGGCATGCTCATTTCTCTTCTGTGTAGGGACACTTTAAAATTCTGGATAAAGGAGATGATTTGGAGAGGGGGACAGTCTAAGGGGTTACACCAAAGTTCAGATTTGGTTTAGGGAGGATCCCAGTTTGTGGATCTGTGCGTTGAGGGTGATGAGAGCGTAGGGCGTTTCTCCCCATCTTCTCCTCTGTTGGAGTTCAGGAGTCAGCTGGATTTGTGGCTTCCATGTAAGGAGAATAATTCTTGGAAGTTTGTGACCTCTATTTAGAGGACTTTTTTTTTTAAGATGGCAAAAAGAAAGTTGGCCTCTGCAAAGGACAATATCCATGCTTTGAGAATTGGGTCATGGTGAAAGACAGATGTGGTGCCGTTTTATTTGCCAGTGTCCTCTCTAGGGACACGCCTTTGTCTCACTTGTATGTCTACACTGCAAAAAAACAGCCACCCTTGTGTTCCTAATTCAGTTAGCTAACCCATATTAGTATTTTAACCTAAGTTTGCTAGTGATGACATGGCAGCTCTGCTTTTAACTCAGTTTAGCAGATCAAATTCAGCTCCAGCGTAGGCTTATAATCAAGCTGCCAACCAGGTTAAGAACAGACCTTGTTTGTTTGTTTTTTGTTTTTTCTTTTACAGTGTAGACATACCCTTACTGAGAATAATTTCAGAAATATCGGTTATTTTTGTTTTTGCTATACTTGGAATGCTGCAAAAGTATTTTCAAGTAAGGGTAATGATGGGATTGGGGCAAGGTGCTGGTGGTGGTGGGGAATGGACTGGCGGTTCCATTATTGTTGTTTATAGGATCATGTCAAGATATATGAAATGTCTGGATGCTGTAATTTTTGGGGGGCGGGCGGGTATTGATTCATTTAAAAAAAAAAAAAAGGCAGATGGGGAACTAATTAGTGAGTTCCCAGAAGATTATTATGATGCTGATTCTGCATTAGAGTGACACCTTTTGGGTGTTGTACTACTCTGTCTAATGCTGAATGTTTAGCGTGGTTCACATCAGCATTTGTACTGGTCCAGTTTCACTTTCAGTATCCTCTGCAGGTAGCACGGTCATCTTTGCACTTTGCATCAGCGCTCTGCACATTGGAAAATCTTGTTTACTGAATGCTGATCATTACAAATAGTTTTAAAATAATACATCCTTCCTGTTCTGGGTCATCAGGCCTTCATGTAAGCGTGGCTACATATTCTGTACTGGGAGAAACAAGTCCATTAATTAGCTTCTGCCTTTCTTCTTTTTTTTCAGACTTCTAACTTTATTGGTTGCATGGGAGGGTTAGGTTGATATTATTTATTGTTGCTAATGAGTTAGACACTTAAATCCCTTGCATTAAATGGAAAATAAATCCCATTTACAGGTGATAGCTGCAGAGCTACATCAAGTGACACCTTTATTGTGCCTGTCCCAACTTCATCTTGGGTTGAAAACAGCTGTTCCGATTATTTAATTCTTGTCAAACACATTAAAGTTCAGGAACTATGAGCTGCTGCAATTTTTAGAAGTCTGAGTACTTCTCTAGAGCAACCTTTATCTTATATTCGGCCTTGGGTACTCCCTGAACAATCTGTGAATCAGAAAAATATTCTGCTGCTTCAGTCCTGGTATCTTGTCTCATCCTGAACATGACTATCTTTCCAGGTTTGCCAGGAGCGGAGGTCAAATTTTCCAGACTTAAGTGCCTAAAAGTTAAGAACTGAAATAAGTGGCCTGAATTTACAGAGATACGGTACATGTGCAGCTCCCATTATCTTGACTGTGAATTTAATGGATGTATGAGCCTAATTTTAGGCACCCAAGTTTGGACGTTTGAACCCTTGTCTTTCATTAACATGAGTTTCCTTGCTGAAACTAGAAGAGGCCTTTCACACACTGATCCCTACATTCCCAGCCCTTTTTAGAAATCAGTTCTGAATTCAGATTTATGTGATGCTTTAGTGACCCCATCAGTTACAGCAGGTTTGCTATAGACACACTTTATACTGTCCACTTCCTCCAAATGATCCATTCTACCGTCAATCAATGTATGTATGTAATTCTTATTAACACTAATGAAAGTTTCCCATGTGCACTGAGGGAAGACTATATACCCTTCATGATGGAACAGCCCGTTCATATTTCTTCCGTCTATGGAATTAGAGATGCATGGCTTTATATGTTTTCCTGAAAGATTAAAATAAAAAAGAAAATATATGCAGGTTGAAACATAAGTAGTTTAAACTCAAGACCGAATTAATACCAAATCCTTCACTTGGGCAGTTGCACCTTCTGTTCACTTCCACCTCCATATATTTGAGTTAACGATGGTACTCCATTAGACTTATTTTAAGTACGTAAACCTGCATGAATAACCTCATCTCTACTAGGCAATTGCCTGTCTTAAGAGACCACTTTAAAGTATCCTCAAGATTTACAGCAGTTTGGGGTGATCTATAGTGTGATTATTCTGTACTCAACAACCAATTATTGCACCCCGAGAACAGGTGTTACTGGAATCAATGAGGGATCTTTTACTTGTTTTGTCAAGCAAGTCTCTCTCTCTCTCTTTCCTTAGGGGTTTCTGTGTGTGTCTTGTATAGAACCGGCATTACACATGGACACTGAAGGGTTTGGAGAACTTCTCCAGCAAGCGGAACAGCTCGCAGCTGAGACAGAGGGCATCTCTGAACTTCCTCATGTAGAACGCAACCTCCAGGAGATCCAGCAGGCCGGAGAGCGTCTGCGGTCTCGGACTTTGACCCGCACGTCGCAGGAGACTGCTGATGTCAAGGCGTAAGTACTTGGGTTTTTGAGACTCCGTTTTGAGCTAGGAATGCTGAAGAAACAGTCTGTTAGCTCATTTAATTCCTCCTGAAAACCTAACATATTTAAAGATCTTGCAATGGAGCTGTGAACTACTTTGGGTAGAAGCTAGGGAGACTCCCGTGTCTGTAAAGATCTACACGTACCTCCTACTTGTGCTGTACAAATACTGCTTTCGATGGTGGTAATTTGATAGGTATGACTGAGTCTCACCAATGGTCTCTTACCTCTTATGTGCATCTATTTATAACATGTCACTTGATATCCCTCAGTCCTCCCCAAATCTCTTGTGTCTCTGCGTACCAGGAATCAGGGGACACACAAAAAGACTGTCAGTAATTGTGACTTTGTAAAGACCCACTTCATGTTTAGTTTGCCTTAGGATTTCCCAGACTTAAATCCAGACCAGGCCTTCTGCAAAGGTACATGCTGCATCTGAAATTTGGCTCTCTGATAAAAGAATACAGTTTGTCCCAAAATTTTTGTACGAAGTCGAAATGAGTTACTAAAACCCAATCCCACGCCACCCTGGGTGCTGGACTACCTGTGATCGCTCAAGGACAAGCTGCCAACCTGCTCTGAACTGCACATTTAAAAATAGGGAGGGAATATGGCCTTGTGGATCAAGTGTTGGATTGGGACTCTGGAGATCTGGATTCTATTCCTGGTTCTGCAACCCAACTCCCTGTGTGACCATCGGCAAGTTGCTTGATCTCTCTGAGCCTCTGTAAAATTAGGATAATGACACTGCCCTGCATCACAAGGGAATTTTGAGGATAAACAGGTTCATGTTTTTGTGAAGTGCTTAGGTATGACCATGTAGGGCCCTGTCAGAAGACAAATAGGTTGGCTGACTGGCACCTCTGGCTTCAGGTTGAAAATGAAACCTGGTCTCAGTTCCCTTACGGACAGCACAGACTGCAGCTGTGTGTTCAAATGCAGTCTGGTGAGAGTGCACGTGCAGTTAGCCATTTGCACTCTTCCTAACGTGGAGTCTGGGCGTAAACAGCTGAGTGGAGCTGGAGGAGAAATTTAACACCGTCAACTGGATGGGCAAATAATTTAATTTCTTCTGCCAGTAAGGCAGCAACTCAGAAGCAGTAAAACTCAGGTGGGAGGCTGGGGGTATTGTCCACCTCAGGTTAGATGTCGAGATCTGTGAGTGGACCCCAGATTTTTAAAAGTAAGCCAGATCAGCAACTTGTGCACTGGGAAGTAAGGAATTACTTTGGGTTTTGGCTGTCCTTAGTTGCCAGCTAATAGGATTTTTCCTAGTCTACTTAAGAGAACGCTCCATTCATGTTAAGAACGCTCTGTCCTTGCATTCCATATCTCTACACTGATGTTCTCCGTCAGAAATGCATTCTGGAAAGTGCGGGGTTCTGAATTTTTCTTTAGAAAGGACAAAGGGTTTCCATTAGGCTAAAGCTCTGTTTTTTCATGACTCGCAGACAGTCTATTTTAAGTCGTACTTTTTCTGATGGTCAAGAGACTCTGTTAAAGAGCCAGGCCCCAAAGCCGAACGGTTACCTGGTTAGGTCAATGGTCAGAGTGAAAGGTGAATGTCTGCATCTTGGATGGAGTGGGCTGAAGCCTTGGTTGAGGAGAAATGTGGAGCAGCTCCGTGGCTGACTCCAACACTTCCATCCTGCTCTGCCAGTGAGATTTCCTTTCCTTGCCTATGGCTTTGTTTGGCATAAGTATCGTTGAACCTTCAGTGGGGGAATGAGGTCACTTCCTTTATACCACTTGGCATGTCATTGTGGCATAATAGGCTCCACCAAGGGTTGAGGAAGAGGTGTGACATACAACGGGATAAAACAACTTTTAATTTGGTTCATAGAATCATAGGACTGAAAGGGACCTCGAGAGGTCGTCTAGTCCAGTCCCCTGCACTCATGGCAGGACTACATATTATCTAGACCAGGGGTTTTCAAACTCCATTGCGCCGCGACCCCCTTCTGACAACAAAAATTACTTTGACTCCAGGAGAGGGGACTGAAGCTTGAGCCCACCCAAGCCCCACTGCCCTGAGTTGGGGGGGAGGGCAAAGCCCGAGCTCCACTGCTTCGGACAGGAGGCCAAAGCTGAAACTCAAGGGCTTCAGCCCCAGGCAGGGGCCTGCAACCTGTGTCCTGCCACCCAGGGCTGAAGCCCTCAGACTTTGCTTTTGGCCCTGGGCAGTGGGGCTCAGGCTTCAGCCCTGGGCCCCAGCAAATCTAAGCCAACCCTGGCGACCCCATTCAAAGGGGGTTGGGACCCACTTTGCGGTCCCGACCCACAGTTTGAGAACTGCTGATCTAGACCATCCCTGATGAGTGTTTGTGTAACCTGCTGTTATAAATATCCAATGATGGAGATTCCACAACCTGCCTAGGCAATTTATTCCAGTGCTTAACCACCCTGACAGGAAGATTTTCCTAATGTTCAATCTAAACTTCCCTTGCTGCAATTGAAGCCCATTGCTTCTTGTCCTACCCTCAAAGGTTAAGGAGAACAATTTTTCTCCCTCCTCCTTTTAACAACCTTTTATGTACTTGAAAACTGTTATCCTGTCCCCTCTGTCTTTTTTAAATCTTCCCTCATAGGTAAGGCCCTCCAATTTCAGGGCCTTAAAAAACGTGTCACAGAGCGTGAAATAAGCCCTTCCCTGTGAAATCTGATCTCCCCCGTGCTGCTGGGAGTGTCCCAGCCGCTGGCTTCTAACTGCGAGTCCCAGCCAGGCTGGGGAGGGACAGGACTTCTGTGCTGCTTTCAGAGTCCAGCAGGGGGAGCATCCGGAGACGGATCTGATTCCCACCCACCCCCACTCCCCTCCCGCCCCCGAGAGCAGCCATGCAGGGGAAGAGCAAGTCATGTCTCTCCCCAGCCTGGCTGGGACTAGCAGCTAGGAGCTTCAGAGCCCAGCTCTGAAGGCAGCACAGAAGTGAAGGTGGCAATCCCGTGACTCCCCTACAATAGGTTTGTGACCCCCCCTTCCCCCACAACCCTCTTTTGGGTTGGGACCCCCATAGTTACAACACTGTGAAATTTTAGATTTAAACATCTGAAAGCATGAAATTTACCAATTTTTCAAATCCTAGGGCTGTGAAATTGACCAGAATGGCTCCTGAATGGGGTAGGGCTCTACTCATAGGTCGTGTTTTCTAGACCTTTAATGATTTTTGTTGCTTTTCTCTGGATTGTCTCCAATTTGTCCACATCTTTCTTGAAATGTGGCACCCAGAACTGGACACAATACTCCAGTTGAGGCCTAATCAGCTTGGAGTAGAGCAGAAGAATTACTTCTCCTGTCTTGCTTACAACACTCCTGCTAATACATCCAGGAATATGTTTGCTTTTTTGCAACAGTGTTACACTGTTGACTCATAATTAGCTGGAGATCCACTATGATCCCCAGATTTCTTTCCACAGTGCTCATTCCTAAGCAGTCATTTCCCATTTTATTTGTGTGCAACTGATTGTTTCTTTCTAAGTGGAGTACTTTGCATTTGTCCTTATTGAATTTCATCCTATTTACTTCAGACCATTTCTCCAGTTTGTCCAGATCATTTTGAATTTTAATCCTATCCTCCAAAACACTTGCAACTCCTCCCCACTTGGCGTTGTCCGCAAAGTTTATCTGTGTACTCTCTATGCCATTATCTAAATCATTGATGAAGATATTGAACAGAACCGGACCCAGAACCAATCCCTGAGAGACCCCACTCGTTATGCCCTTCCAGCTTGACTGTGAATCACTGATAACCACTCTCTGGGAACGTTTTTTCCAAACAGTTATGCACCCACCTTATAGTAGCTCCATCTAGGTTGTATTTCCCCAGTTTGTTTATGAGAAGGTGATGCAAGCCAATATCAAAATCCTTACTAAAGTCAAGATATACCATATCTATCACTCCCCTCCCCCCCTTCCACAAGGCCTGTTACCCTGTCAAAGAAAGCTATTAGGTTGGTTTGACGACTATTCCACCATTTTTTCCTGTTATCCCTATAATATCTGATTTCACTTCCTGCACCAGTAGTTCTAGTTCCTCTGTTTTGTTACCCAGACTCTTGCATTGATATACAAACATCTTAGTGGTTTCTGCTTGGCTTTGCCCAGATTCCTCACCTGAGGTACAGTCATTCTACTGCCAGTATCGCCTACCTGACTCTTAGCTTCATTGGTACGGGCACTATTATTTCCTCTTAATGCCCATTCTCCTACCCACTACTGTTCCTTTCTCCATTGCTGTACTCTCTCTTTCTTGACTTTCCTCCTGATCAATATTAGAATCAGGCATGGAGATTACATGAGCATGTCTCAACCATTTCCCCCAAGTTCCTGGTTTAAAGCTCTTTGTCTTCATCCCCTCCTCTTTCCCACATTCCACATCCTTCCTGTCCTTCCCAATGTATGATCCATTGCTCATGTTATTTTAGAGGCAAATTGCATAGGTAGCTCTAGAATGAAGGGGAAGGGAAAGGGGCGGATCAGGTTGTGGTTTGCTGGGGTGGTTGATTCTCTTTGCCCTTCGCTTCCTACTAAGCAGGAGGCATGCAGTATAGCGTCAGGGAATTTGGAAAGATGTGGGCGGGCGAAGAGGGAAAGAGATGATCAGGGCAGACAGAATTACTGGTAAGTAATTATTTTCCACTCAGAGGCTGGATAGAAGAAAATGCTGGAATTTTGAGTTTTTGGTAAGTGACCAATGTATTCATCTGTGGAGCCACCATTTAAATCAGAGTGCAGTATTCTGTTCTGGAAATGGCACTAAGTTACCAAGGTGCTTTAGAATTTTTACGAATGGAAGGATTTGACAGCAGTCCGCTCCTGCAATGGGCAATGAGAACAGCATTAATTTAACAAGGGAGATCCGATTTTTCTCTTCACATCTTTTCAGGGCTGATAATACTGGATGTTATAGCTTTACACATGTGTGTGTCCAGGGTTTGATGTAAAAAGAGAGAACCACCTTTCTCTCTACATCCACCGATCTAAATATTTGAACTGCAGATGTTTTTTCCAGAGATATTAAAAGTAGCCGTATCTGTTTAATATCAATTTTCTCCTTCTTCCCCCATATAGATCTGTTCTTCTTGGGTCCAAAGGGCTTGACATATCCCATATCTCTCAGCGGCTGGAGAGTCTTAGTGCAGTCACTACATTTGAGCCTCTTGAGCCTGTGAAGGACACTGACATACAGGTAAGGGCAGTCTGTGACGTACGGGTTATTTACACTTTCCCGACAAATAACCAGTATTTGTGTGTGTGTGTGTGTGGGGGGGTTTAGTCCAAGCCTTCTAAGATAGGCAGTTGCAGAAGCATTCTTGCCTTGTGTTTTGCTTCCTGGCAAGGTGAAGCACAAAGCAAAGAATACCATGCAGTCAAAAACCTAGCCTGAAAGATTTAGAGGTTAGGTTTTGGATGAGGTGGTAGGTCTCTGTCTGTTTTGCAAACCTGGATTGTAACGAGCTGTCCCTCCCTTCTAGCTTTTAGACCTTTCTTGTGTTTGTGTGGATGAACTCATGGTGATTCACTCAATAATTTTAAGTGACTGGTTTTGGGGGCAGCTGTTTTCTCAGTCAAGCCAGCTGTATGGGGAGCGAGTGTCCTTTTTTCTTATAAATGTAGGCTCTGTATTGTGGATCTTGTAATTGTGAGACATTGTCCTATTGATAAGCTTACATGCCATGTTTCCTGCTTTTGATCGCAGTTTGATTTAGTTTATTATCTATTTTTGCTGTAAATCCCCTTCACAGCATATAGCTAGTCACCAGCATCTTAGGGGTTACTAGTTGGATAGTTTTAAATGTGACTTGTTTTGTCATGGTCTTCTTTTCATCTTGTATTAGTTGCCTGCGTTATTAGACTAACTTTAATAGTACTGCTGTTTCCAGCACTGAGAAGAAAGCTGCTGGGTTAATGACTCAGTTAAGACCTTGTTCGCTGTGGATCTGTAAGTTTTGAGAAGATTTGAATGGAGCTCGTCTTACTTATCGTTTCATGATTTAGAGGGTTATCCTCATCTTCTACTGGTGTATACAGGGCCGGCGCAACCCATTAGGCGACCTAGGCAGTCGCCTAGGGCACTACAATTTGGGGGGCTGCGACCGCAGTGGTATTTTGGTGGCGGGACCTTTCGCCGCCTTTGTGGGGGGCGGCATTTCGGGGCGGGACCTTCCGCCACCTAGGGCGGCAGAAAAGCTGGCGGTGCTCCTGGGTGTATAGATAATAAAGGATATCCAGAAGGGTTATGAGCCCTCATGGTTCAGGATATTGGCCGATCTCTACTAGAGCTGTAGGCTGCTGACCTGTTTTCCAGCCCACAAAAGACTAAAGCTACCTCCTCAAGTCTGTCCGGGCTTTCAGGGCACAGTTTTCTTTTCAAATGCAGTAGAACCCCGTTTATCAAGCGTCCATTATCCGGCTCCCTGTATTAACTGAACCAGGTGGTGGGGCTCGGGCTGGCCATTCTCCTGATTAGCCAGTTTTTTGATGATCCGATCTGGCCCCAGTCCCAATTAGATTGGATAGTTGGGGTTCCACTGTATAAAGCTCGTAAAGTAACAAAAGGTTATTCCCGTGACCAAAGCAGGCTACAGGGTCCCAGAAGCTTTTCCTTTTGTGCGTTTCTCTCCTGATTCAGGGTCAGCCACACAGGATCTAGGCTGCTTCCCATAGCTCTCCTTAGCTGAGCTCTTTCAGCCTCTTATATGAATCACCTGACCCCTTCTCAGCTGGATCTGAGTATTGAAGAGGACTGGCTGGCTCCAACCCCATATAAGGGCAGACCACCCTGTTATTACAGGGGGTACGAAGGAAACTGTCTCTGGGGAAAGGTTAGCCCCTCTGCCTGCTGCAGGGGTTCTTGCACATTATCTGAAGTAGCTGGTATTGGCCACTGTCCGAGGCAGAGTACTGGGCTAGATGGACCACTGGTCAGATCCAGTCTGGTGATTCATAAGTCCTCAAATTAACATCTGCAAAGCAGTATTTGTGTGCGTGAACCGCTCTAGACAGATTTCTATGTAACTTGATTCCTTGTTTTTTCCCCCTCCCCCCCCGGAAGATTTTGCCACTCTTTTTCAGCAAAAATTAGCAGGCCTAGGAGGTCTATTGCATGATCATAGGATGATAGCTTTTACTGCTGCTGGTATTATTCACTTTCTTTCTTTTATTTTATTCCTTTGTTCCAGTTTGTTACCATTGATTAGGATTTATTAAACTTACTAGATGTCTTTCTTGACCCTAGTCCATCTAGCTTTTTGCAAGAGCTCTTCTTCCTTTCTACATCTAGACTTACTGTAACTATTTATTCTTTTTTGATTTTTGGGCCGGGTAGATTTGATTTAAATCAAATTGATTTTAAATCATGATTTAAATCACTAGTCAGGAAGACTTGATTTTAATCATGGATTTCTACATAAAAGTGCATTCTTGTTGGTTGTTATAACCTTAATACATATTCTTCACAACTCAGAGATGCAGGTTTCATTTTTAGAAGGTACAGCCTATACATTTTTAAAGTGATTTATTTTAAAAACTTTTCAGTGTAGTTTTACAGCTATATCAGAAAATGAATGATTGGTTATTTCATTTACCAAAGGTAATGGAAGCAGATATGTATGAAGTCACTGGGAGGTGAACTATCTCCAATTCAACAGGTTAATCATTAATATTTGGAGGATTTTCTTGCCATGCTGCATTAGGAGGAGAACATCACCAGACAGACATTTAAATTGTTTTATTTACGTAAAACAACAACATTATGTATTCTGGATTTTTTTCTTCAACAGCAAACATATAATATTTTAACAAAACAAGCATATACATTTTTGAATTTAGTTAAACATTCAAGTTTTTTTAAATCAGGTTTGTTTTTGTTAAAATTGTTTTGAACTAAAATAGTTAAATGAAATATTAAAAAAAAAATTTAAATCGACCATGTCAGCCAGGTCAACATGAGGATCTTAAAATATTGGCTTCTGCAGCTTACTCAGTCGTCTTCACCTTCATTTTCCTGTTGGTTCATAATCTGGAAAAGAAAAACAAGCTTTCCTGCTTTTTCAGGTCCCAAACGATTTCTCAATTTGGAATGAATTAGTCCAAAGGAAGAAAATATTCTTTCTTCACCGGCAGAAGAAGCTACTGCTGTTAAAAGTGATATTATCACTTCAACAGTCTCTGAATCCAAGTGCTTAAGAGACTTTCACCAGTTCACTGGTGTGACTTTCTTTAAAATATCATCAGCAAACATATATTTCTTGAATGGTTCTTATTTCCAAACTGGGTCTCTTTTATGGCCTGCTGCCATTATAGGTTTTCCCTTCTAGTGAGAGAATGGTATGGTAGATCTCAAATCAATGAAGGCTACACTCAGAAAGATCTCAAGACTTCTGGAATATGCTGCTCAAACAGTTTCACTTTGTATTTACTGCCTTCCCCCCCTTCTCACATTTATCTCCAGACTTCTTCTCCTTGTCCAGATCTATTCCGCCCCCAACAATCTTCTATTCATTGAACTTTTTGCAACTTCACACTTTTAGAGAGAGGTAAGGGATTGACTCTGTGTACACAAATTTGCAGAGGGACAATAGGGTTGAGGTCTGTTATTGTTCACCTCTATGTATTATTTATTTAAAAACATTTTTTCTGTTAACAAGCATGTTACCTCTGGAGACACAAATCCACAGTTTGAGAACTGCAAAACTAAGCATCTCTGATGGTATCTTCTAGACTGAGCACTGAGTCCCATTGGGTAGATAAAAAGATTAACCTAAATAATCTATACAGAAGCCCCTGGAACCCCATAAAATTGGTTCCGTAATCCATGAACTGTTGGAACACATTAACAAAACTTTTCTTAAACATTATGTGAATATATTGTCTCATACTATAGAATTAGAATTTATAATCCGTATTCCATGATGAAATATTTTGAGCTATAATGTATCTTAATTAAAACTATCTTTAGATAGGTTTTTTCCTCAAAAAGCATTTTATCAAAAATCTGATTTAAATATTTTTTTTTTTTAAAATCATTGATTTTTATCCACCCTGATTTTGGGTGTCTGTCCTTTCTTGTTTAAGAGTACAATACACAATCTTGCTGTAGGTTCTCAACCCCCTAGCAATAGCGCTAAAAAGACTTTTTTGTTTCCAAGCTGTTTGGGTACATGGGCTAAATGTTGCCATTTATTTTTCATCTTCTGATATATTATGCATGTCAATCTTGATTTTTCTTTCTATTTTACCAAAACAACTTTAAGGTTTTTCAACAATCTGGTTTCTACCAAATCTCAAGGTCTCCTCAATAGGAGGGTTATTTGATACCGTTAATCAAATGCTCCTTCTATTTTTAATTTTTTTTGGTGTCTGAGGCCTAACACCTAGGCTTTGAGTCTTGAATCTTTCTTCACAGATGGCTGCCAGCAAAAATATATAAATTAAATAAAACGGTGATCTAAAAGAGGAAGCATGACGATATTCCTGGTTTTACGTGATTTTACAGACACAAGGGAGCTTCAGGGCTCTGCCCTTAGTCCCCTTATTGTTCAACTTCAATTTAATACAGGCACAAGGGTTTTCAATATTTTGTGCAGGTTTGCAGCACATCATCCTCTGCTTTGTCTAAGGACATTTGCAGTCACATCTCAAGTTGTCTGGCTGATGTTGACAACTGTCTGTGTTTGAAAATACCTACTCAGAATATGGACAAAGCTTTGCTCTTGTCCGTAGGTCCCGGTACACAGATGTCAGCAATAGCATCTGGTTCTCTGAGAGAAATTTTTATCAAGGTTTTACCCATGGCAAGAGATCTTGGGTCTGTATGCCTCTGGTTATCCTTTGCCTGTCATGTTAGATCTGTTAAATCATGTAGGTTTTAATTGCTTGTTTGTTATTTTAGACAAAAACTCCTGGTATTAGACCAAAGCTTTAGTGGTATTTTGGCCTGATGGTTGTGACAGTCTTTTTGCTGGTTTGGCTGCTTCTTTAGAAGCCTAGTGGTCATATAGATTCCTTTTGCACCTTTAGGATCACATTACGCCACTTTACTTAGCCCTGGTCTACACTGGGGGGAGGGGCGCTCGATCTAAGTTACGCAACTTCAGCTACGTGAATAATGTAGCTGAAGTCGACGTACTTAGATCTACTTATCGCGGTGTCTTCACTGCAGTAAGTCGACGGCTGACGCTCCCCCGT